GGGGGGGACGTGGGGGGCGGGGTGCGGGATGTGACAGCCGTACCGGTCTGTGACGCAGCGCTGAGCGGCTTGACAGACGACGAGATCAAGGACTGTTTGAACGCCGAGGCGGCTGTGAGTGTCAGAAAGGGCTCGACCAAGGGTGGGTACAGCAGATGCGAGGAGGCGAAGAAGAAGGGGACCGTTCAGGAGAGCTTCCACGAGACGTATCAGGAGCGCCACGTGGCGGTGGAGGGAGGACACAGCACAACCGACGTCCTCTTCTCCGGGAAGGACGCCAAAGTCTTCTCAGCATGGGAGGAGAGCCTCAAAGCCAGCCCTGGCCTGGTGTCCTATTCCCTGCAGCCCATCCACAGCCTGGTGGAGCAGGACGACCCCAAGCGGGAAGAGCTGAGTCGGGCGGTGAGTGAGTACATCACTAAAAGGGCCCTATGGAGGAATTGCACCCAGAGCTGTCCCCCAGGGACCGAGCGCAGCGCCCACGACCCCTGCTCCTGTGTCTGCCCTGGGGATGTGGTGACCAACACCATGTGCTGCTCGCGGGAACGTGGCCTAGGGAAGCTGATCGTGACTGTGCAGAAAGCCAGTGGCCTCTGGGGGGACTACAGTTCTGCTACGGATGCTTTTGTCAAGGTCTTCTTTGAGGGCAAGGAGGTCCGGACCAACACCATCTGGAACAACGACAATCCCACCTGGAACGTCCACTTGGACTTCGGCACCGTCCGCCTCAACAGCGCCAGCAAGATCCGCGTCGAGGTCTGGGACGAGGACAACAAGTACGATGATGACAAGCTGGGAAACTGCGACATCCCGCTGGAGTCTGGGGGGCCCCACCAGAAGGATTGCTACATGAACCACGGCCGCGTCTGGTTCCAGTACAGCCTGCGCTGTGGGCCCCACCTCGGGGGTCAGGGCTGCTCTGACTATGTCTCCCAGCCCCCCCGGCAGAGCACAGCCCAGGGGAAGGAGGCAAAGGCCTTTTGGTGAGCCCCTTAGCTAGGGGATCGGAGAGGGGGCTGGGTGTGCACTGGTCAATTGCGCATCTTGTCCGACCATTTCCTGGCTCCCGCTCTGCTGATCCTGCTCTTCATGCTGTCGCTCCTGCTTGGGATTCGGCGTGTCCTGTGCCTGTAAGAGACTGTCTGCTCCCGTGAGCCCCTCATCCTCACAGCTCCCTCTGGGGAAACAGCCCATCGCAATCCGCCCATTCCGCATCCATCCAACTACTGCGTCCAGTGATCTACTGTGTTCATCTAACCAATAAGCCCAAGTATTTGCCTCCAGAATTCAACCTATCCTCACCCTCCTCTAATCTACAGCCTGTCAATCACACAATGGGTGCATTTAGTTTACCCAAGGTATGCAACCAAGAAACCACCAACTGAATTTAGTGCTTCCAATCTTCCCGTCCAAGCTACCGATCAAAGAACGAATTTGGTGCGTCCATCATATCCACCAACCAGTGCCTGTATCTAGTGCATCCAATGCATACAACAAACCAACCAATGAATCTATCCAGTGCAACCAAACCTGAAACGAAGGTATCTACAGCATCCCATTTAAAAGGCCAGCTAGCCAGCCAACCAATGAATGTGTTTGGTGCATACAAAATATCTAGCCAGGCAATCAACCAAAATGTTGAGTGGCTCCAATGTAACCAGCCAACCATGAGGTTTATTTAGCCTATCCAGCCTACCTGCCTACCAATGTCTCCAAGGCATCTGTCCAGCCAACTAACCAGACTAACCAGTCTGTGTATCCCATGCATCTATTCTCAACCTGTTTAGCATCGTTGGCTGTATATGGAGCTCTCTGTCTATTATGTGATCCACATCCACACTATATCTATACTGACTGTGTGGCCACCAAGATGTCACTTGAGATTGTGGTGAGTGGGCCGCGAGAGGGCTATGGGTTGATAATCACTGATGTAGTGCACCCAGTGTCACTAACCAGTCACACAACTAAGATCTTAGGTACATCCAGCCAACAAACCCACCAACCAACCAACCAATTGAAACAGCCAACCAATGAATGTCCTAACTACCTACAACCAACCCATCAACCAATATGTACAGGCTGCACAACCAATCCGGCATCCCAAGTATCCATCTGCCCAATGAACTCATCTATCTGGTGTGTCTCCTTGAAAGCGATGGCCTCTCCAGGAAAGGAAAAGGAACAAAGCTCAGTTCTGTCATAGGCTCTACTAATTAACCCCCTGTAAAAATCTGAGGCTGCTCCAGGGATGGGCGTGGTTCTAAACACCTAGCAAATGGGCTGAGTTCCTGGAAGGAGGATTCCTTAGGGAGCTGGTGTGCAACTGTTGAATCTCTTGTTTTCCACATTTAACCAGCTACTTTGGGGTTCGTTATGGCATCATGAGTGCACAGGCCTCGCCAAACCTCCAGCTGGATGCTCTCTGCACCCATGGTAAACAAGGAGGATGACATATGACTAGCCATCAATAGGATTCAGAGTGAACACACAGGAGAACATTCCAGAGGGTATTGGTTCAGACTGTCAGCAGGCTCAGGGAGATGGCATTGCATTGGGGTCCGCACTGGCAAGGGCAAATTCCCCCTAATTTGGTGATTAAAGCCTTTTCCTCATTCATCCTCACCTGCATCCACTGAGAGCCTAGATCAATAGCTCTGTGATGCCCCTCACTGAGGAAGGGGGGTTGTTCACTCTGAACCCTAGTGTTGGCAAGTGAAATAACTCCAGCCTGGAAAAATGCTATGCAGCTTTGCAGCTCGACTGCAAAACGATTTCCTTCTGGGAGGATTCCAGGTTTCTGAGCTTTGGAAATATATCTCCCTGCTTTAATAAATATTTGTGAAAGCATATTTCTAAGGATGAAGCCTTGACTTTCTTCTGGCCGGAGTTGGATGGACCTCAATGAAGAGTAGAAATGAGCGGCTACAGTGCCCACTTGAGAATAGTAGGGGAGCTCTGGGCTGGAGGGGAGTGAGGCATGGCAAGACAGGGATGCTAGCGAGAGAAATAAATTTGCTGCAACGGGGAATCCAGTGTAAGGTGGCTAATGCTGGTCAGTGTGACTTCTATTGGGGACAGAGTGAGGTGGGTGGCTGGGTAAGAGATACAAGAAGATGGGCAGTGTTATTAGGGGCATTAATATCCCACAGCTGAGAAATGCAAGATATTGCTGTTGCCAAAGGATCCAGGAGGGGACACGAGGAATTTTTCTTTGAAGTGGGGCTCAGCTCTGATTTGGCCCTCGGGCAGGGGGACTGGCTGTCTGGGAGGCTAGAGATGGGGGATGGATGATTGCGCTGCCATGTGGGTGAGATGTGTCCATCTTGCTACCACAAAAGGGGGGACCTCAATGAATTTCAATATTGACATCCAGTTTCATTCCTTAGCACCGGTGACAAATTCATGGCAAAGTCCATCTTTTCCGTGAAGGAGGTCCCGGCTGGCAGACGTGGTCCACCCCATCCAGATTGATATCACCCTGGGCTGCTCCATCTGCAACAGCTTGTATTTTGTCCAGGACCTCTTGAAACTTGGGTTAAGGAATGGTCAGTTTGCTCTGCTGTCCCTGGGCCAGAAGAAGGCATTTGACAGGGTGGACTCCAGGGTACTCTCGTAGGTGTTCAGTTTCAGATCCTGGTTTGTGCATTTTCCAAAGGCGCTGTGCACCTCCACAGAGTGTCCTTCTAGTTCAACTGGATCCTGACCGAACCAATCAGCTTCAGGCGAGGGATATGTCCGGGGGCCTTCTCCCAGGCCAGATACGTACTCTGGAAACGAAGCCATTCCTGTCTTCTCCTCCTTAGACTGAGAGTGTTGGTGCTTTTCTTGAGCCAGGGATGCAGGTGGTCCTGCCAGCATCTGCTAATGTGCTCTTCATGGTCTAGGTCAGTGGTTCCCAAGCTTTTCGGCATCACACCCATCCTTTTGATTTTTGAGAAACCCTCATGCTCCTCCCCCCCCCCCAAAAAAAACTTGGTGAGCAAAAAGGAACTGACTGGGGCCAAAAAGCAGTCGTGGCCCCTTTAATTCCCAGGACCTGTGTAAAAAAAAAAAAAAAAAAAAAAAAAAGGGCGGCGCCACCCCCATGCCCCCCCCCCCCCCCCAAAAAAAACTTGGTGAGCAAAAAGGAACTGACTGGGGCCAAAAAGCAGTCGTGGCCCCTTTAATTCTCAGGACCTGTGTAAAAAAAAAAAAAAAAAAAAAAAAAAAAGGGGCCGGCACCCCCGCGAGATCAGGTCCCCATCACACCGGGCACTGCTCAGAGCGCCGAGATCAGGTCCCCATCACGCCGGGCACTGCTCAGTCCCTGGCTGAGATCAGGTCCCCATCACGCCGGGCACTGCTCAGAGCACCGAGATCAGGTCCCCATCACGCCGGGCACTGCTCAGTCCCTGGCTGAGATCAGGTCCCCATCACGCCGGGCACTGCTCAGAGCACCGAGATCAGGTCCCCATCACGCCGGGCACTGCTCAG